TAATGTTGATGAATTGTGTCTATGATTGAATCAAACCCTGTGCTGTATCATCTGTCCTCTTGTGTCATCATTTGGGGTCAGTTGCTTGTTTTGTTCATATCAAAGAGCATGTATCGTTTAAAGGCTGACATTACAGCTGAGTGCATGTGTGGTATGAAACTGTCATATTACCACATTACACAAGTCATAATGTTGACTCAACGTGGGAGAAAGGTAGCGTAAGACCTGTGATCTATTGAGATCTCACAGGAGACACAGACGTCACTAAATGAGTTACTAAAATCCGTGTTTTGTACACCTTAAAAGGTCTGAGCTTTGAGTTTAATGATCATACCATATACACGGTTTACTCTCTTGTTGAACTCTGACATTGTGTTGATAACGGACCATAAAAACAGACTTCACCCTGTGTTATCATGTCCTATCATGTCCTATTCACTCCTTCTCTCGTGCCTTTGTGAACTGTCCTTTGAGTGTACCTGATGTGTGGACGCAGGCTGTTGTGGATGAAAGGCTCCTTTACTGTAGCATTGATGTCTGATTCCCTCACATTTGTTCTTATACCAAGTTAAAGCAAAGCAGAGGAGAGTCACATGTCTTACCTTCAACAGTAAGTCATGTAACTCAGTAAAGGTCATCATATTTACGACTGTGTCAGGTGTTTCCTTCGGAGAGTGTTTTTATTGCTGTCATCGACATTATGGGAAATGTCACTCCTGTGGTTTCTTTGATTCATGTCACCTCACTCTGAAGTGCAGGTTCTGGCTGCACAGAGGTTATGTGGTGTAAAAAAAACAGATTCAGCAGATTCATCGTGATGACGAGACGCTGCTGTTGTGGTTTGGTTCACAAACACATGTAAGGATTCAAGTAGAGTTCATGCTACATGTCAGACTGACTCAACAAACCACCTTGAGGGAGTTTCAGAAAAATGGGAAATTCATTATTTTCACTGTTTAATTCACTACAGCAGTGAGTCCAATGTGGGTAAGAGTCATAAGAGTGACGGTTATCTCCACAGCTGCAGTTAACAAATCTTGAAGTCTAACTAACAACCAAAATCTTGTCATGTGGGGCGCCCTCAGTGGCTCCCAGCACGTACCATTAAGGTTAAGCTCTTACTGCAGCATCAAGGGCTTGAGTTTAGCCCGGGCCCTTTGCTGCGTGTCATCTTCTCTCCCCTGCCTTTCCTGTCACTCTGTTTCTTAATATGAAATAATAGAATAGCAGAGATTAGTCTTTTCAGATGGACATCCCTGAAGCAAAACCTTATTAAATAGGGTACCGTGACCTAATGTGTTTCAGTTTAAGGGTCCTTGACACAAAAAGGTTGGGAACCACTATTTTACACTGCAGCGTTAAGAGTTTTTACAACATCTTTGTGTTGCTTTCAGATCTAATAATTGGGTAGATCACTGTATGCCCTGTTTCCTTTTTCTTTTTTGTATTGTTTTGTTTTGTTTTTTATTTGTTTTGTGCTTTGTTGTATTTTAGGTAGCCTCGTGTAACATCTTGGCTGAGGGACTACTGATGCAAAATAGCTTTTTGGCTAATTTTGGCATTTTATACCATGTGTATTTATTAATTTGCACTGTCCCTTCTTTATTAAACTTAACTCGACTCAACTCAGCTCAGTGAAAATAAAATAAACTAGAATAAAACAAAATAAATAAAATGAAACAAAATGAAATGAAATTAAATAAAATAAACTAAACTAGAATATAACACATTAAAATTAGAATCAACTAGAATGAAATAAAATAAAATAAACTACAATTAAAAAAACGGTGCAGTGGTTAGCATTGTCACCTCATAGCAATAGTGTTCTGGGTTGGAACCCGGGGGTATGGTACCCTTCTGTGCAGAATTTGCATGTTCTCCCTGTGTCAGCGTGGGTTTTCTCCAGGTGCTCCGGCTTCCTCCCACAGTCCAAAGACATGCAGGTTAACTGGTGACTCTAAATTGTCCGTAGGTGTGAATGTGAGTGTGAATGGTTGTCTGTCTCTATGTGTCAGCCCTGTGATAGCCTGGCGACCTGTCCAGGGTGTACCCTGCCTCTCGCCCAATGACAACTGGGATAGGCTCCAGCCCCCCGCGACCCCCAACAGGACATGCAGGTACAGAAAATGTTTGAATGAACTACATATTTAGAAGGAAATGTTGTACCTTTTACTTTACTAAATCAATTTAACAAGTGTTTTAATGAGCTACTTTGCTGACTGATATTTTACATTAAAAATATACATGATTAACTTGCTATAGATTAAACCAGGGGTTGCTTATCTTTACAAGCTGCAGTGCGTAGTTTGAGCACCTTGTCACCTTTCACATGTCTCTGAGTTTTTACTTACTGTGTCCCTGAACTTCTCAGATGGTTCGATTTAAATAGTTTTCTTTAGGCCCAAAGAGGTAAAACGATCCAATATTTTTTACACAAAAGTTAAAATATAAGTAAAAAAACAACAACAAAACAGACAAACAAAAAAAACAACAACAACTCAGATTTATCTTGTGCTACTCAAAAGGGGACCTGAACTGCAGGTTGGGAACCACTGGGGCCACTTTGATGCATTGTTTACATTTGGTTGATTATACCTCTGTACTTTTACTTAAGTAGGATGCCAAATGCAGAAATACTTGTAACAAAGTATTTTTAAATTGAGACATCCCAGATGAAACATAGTTTGTTCATACACTGGTCAGTTTTGAGAATTTGAGACATTTTGCCTCCATAACAGACTTTCTATTAGACTAGAGGAAAGAAAACATCCAAAATATACATTGAGGTGTTTCTTTTAGTTCAGATTTCTGTTTTGGAAATGTATGCAAAGAGCGCATGGCTCATTTTAACCCTAACCCTATAACATTTTAGACAACTGCAAGGGTAAAAACAAAGCAGCGCGTCTCTCAAATACAACTCACCTCCACCCTCTAGTGTTTAATGCTGTAATGTTGAAGGGAACCAGGGTAGAATGTGTTGTTTTCTTTGGGGCCACTGGATGGCTCTCTCCTCCTTCAAAGATGACATAACTGAATTTAAAGGCAGTTAAAAGACACAGTGATCCAACAAAATATTTAAAATCCAAGCACAGGACTGGAACATGGCAACACTCTCACATTGTATTTACTGTCAGTTATTTTAAGACACACATGAACACTAGAAACTGACTCAGTGTTTTCTGATGCTATTAAATGTTTTATTAACACAGGAGTAAAACTTATTTATATATTTCACGTATGATTCACTGTAAAATTGTTAAATATGTAGTTCAAAGAGGAAAATGTAAAATTCAGAATGTTTTCATTCATTTGTTGGGTGAACCAGCTTCTTAAAACTTGCAAATTAAAAAAGACACGTCATTTACCCATTATATAAATTTCTGTTTGTGGGTGACAGGCAGTCACACACACACACACACACACACCTTTAATTTAACCCCTCACACTGATTACAGGCTAAACATTATTTTGTTTTTCATTCAGGACCCTTTCACTGTCAGACTCATACTGCCGGTTGGACAAAGCTGCCTTCAAAGTAAAAGTAGGTCAAGTTAGGTGTGCATTTGAACATTTAAATTTAGTAGAATAAAAGCATGCAATATAGAAAGAAACTCTCGGGTAAATATGGCGCATGAGACAACCTGACCAGTTTTATATGAATAGATAGTCTAATGTTGAAGGCCCAAGAAGAGTTATTGTTGTTGTGAAAATGACATTTTCTTATGAGTATTTTATTTATTTATTCCGGTATTTAACAGTTACATGTAGATAATGGCTACATTTTACTTTCTGTAAATCTTATTTTTCCATCTGCAAGGAATTCTGGCAAGGAAGTTCTGAAATAGTAATAATAGTAATAATAATAATAATAATAACAATAACAACAACAACAACAACAACAACAATAAAGAGATAACTTCCATGTCTCTAAATACTCCCAAACTATAAAAAACAAAACAAACAAACAAAAAAGAACACAAGAAACAGAGAACAGTACCTTTACTCTGTTTATATAACACCAAACCATATCAGGGTATCAGTGACAGTTACCAGTATTGGACCAGTGTGTGCTGGCATAACACAACAGCCTGAGCAGCATCATGAGAATTATATTTGTCAGAAATTACAACATATATTTAACCTTTTATATCCTTTCATAAGAAACATAAAGATTTAAAGGAAGTATTTGTCATAAATTGCACAATATGAGTTTTTTAAAATTCCTGGTCTAATATAAACTCATTTAGTTTTTGAATATGCTACGTTCTTTAAAAGTTCAGAGTGTAAGATTGAAGGAGATATAATGGCAGAAATTGAATATACATTCACAAGTATGTTTTCAATCACCTGAAACTAAGAACTGTGTTTTTGTTACCTCTGAATGAGATGTTTACATGTTACATACAGTAGACCTTTTATTTGCATTCTGACCAAGCGGCATCCTCCTGAGCCAAATATTGCAGTTCCTCTCATGGCCACTTGAGACTGGCTCCATACGTCAATCCCCACAGACCCCCCATGTTAACATGCCCAACTTTACAGCAGAAAGAATCATGTTTACAGCTTGAAACAAAAAAAGTCCCAGTAGATAATTTCAACATTCATGACAACTGCACAGGGGGTAAAATTTTTATATGACTCAGCGGTTTACATTTTATCACGGCTTAAAGTTATGCAGAATTACTTGAGCAACAGGCCATGAGTCAGATCCACCCTTCACTCCTCCACAGCTCCACCCTCATGTCCAAATATGGTCACTTCTGGAGAAATGCCAAACTTGAGGCTTCAAACCAGTGTCCACCAATCAATGGGTGACATCAAGGTAGCTATGTCCATTTAGGTATTTTATACAGTCCATGGTTGCAATCTGCAACCTCACCACTAGATATCACCAAACCCAAGACCTTTAAGTTGTATTCTGACATATTGTATTATATTATATTAGCTTTTATTCTGAAGGTTGCAGCCGGAAGTTCTGTACCAGTTGCCTTGACCCAGCTTTGTGTTGAGCCCTCAGCCCCTCCTGCAGCGGAGCAGCGTGTGTTCCTCCAGGGTGACGGAGACAGCTGGTCCTACCCTGGTGCAGCAGAGTGAGCGGAGCGGGGACGACGCACCGCCTCCGCCCGCAGCCACGGACGGACAAGGGCCGGGGATGGCGTCGCTCGGCGTGGGGCTGCACCTCATCCGCAAGCGGGGAGCGGGCAGGAGCGCCGCGGTGGAGCGGAGGAACCTGCTCACGGTGTGCAGGTGGGATTTCCTCACGCTGCTCTTTTATCTGATGACGGGGAGGATGAAACAGCGCCTCACGGCAGAGATGTTTATTAATAATCTCAGAGGCGTTTGTTTGAGCTTAGCTCGTGGATCCGTATTTAAAAATATGACTTCATGTGCACATGGGAGAAAGTCATCCTGCATCTTTTAAACGATATGCATGAAAATGTAATTGAATTTATTTATTTATGTTTTAAAATACCAGCTGGCTGACCTCAGGTAAAAGCATCTATCATGTGTATTTTGCCTCTTTCATTCACTCACACACAAATGCACACTCACCCACTACAAGCAGCCGACACAAGCCTCCATTAAACAATCACATTTCACTTTTAATTACCCATACAATCAGTTCAGTGTAGGATTAAGCCGGGATTTTGGAAATACTCAGGTCATGAGTTCAAATTCCTCCATCACAATCCCACCTCAATAAAAACGTTGGATTAGGCATCAAAAGCAAACTGAAAAATGTTGTTTTTATATATTTTTTGTTCATTTAACTGTGCAAATATGCATTTATATTTTTAAATCCCCCTCACTGGTGCTTTAACACACCAGAAATATGATTAAAGTAGAAAAATACTAAGTGGTTTTTCCTGTTTTGACTGTCTGAAACTTAAATACAAAGATACTAAGTCTGGAAAACAATGCATAAATTCTGTGTTTATGCACCCCAATCCAGTCATTCATTCCTCATTGCATTCATAAATATAAGCTTGGTTGATATATATGGAGCATGGTTGACAGGTAGATAAATAGATGTTGAGGTGTGTGCACACGTGTCGGCCGCCTGTTTCCCCTCCTCTCTTTGTCAGCTGAAGTGAAAAGCTCTTTGAGTATTGATCTGTGGTCCTCTGAGCTGCTGGCACATGTCAGTTACTGACTGACAGTCCCTGTGGTGCGTTTGAGACTGAGGAGCACAAAGGGTCAGAGAAAAGCAAAGATGCAGAGGCGTAGTTTTTTATTTTGGCACCAAGAAAGAGTAACAGTCCAGAAAACAAACTGATAATACACCACCTGCTCCAGCTGGTGTCTGCTCTGTTTACAAGAGAACAAATATAATTTTCAGGTTTCAGGACAGTATCAGGTGTAGCGTGTCTGGTATGCCTTCCTCTATTAACGTCACTGAAACAGATGTAAAGGGAGAGTAATTAGACGCAGGTGCTGCATGCTGACCACTCTGGTCCCGTTCCCGGCTCTCTCTGCCTCCGCACCAGCCATCAACTCGCTGATTGGCACAAGCGGAGGAGGGAGAAGGAGGGTGAGAGAAAGAGATGGCAAAATTAATGAGTGGAGGATTAAATATTACTGGAGGAGGGCAGAGTAATATTGAAGGAGGACAGTAAATTTTCCCTCTTGTTTCCTCTTTGGCAGCTTTAAAGCCGAGACAGGCAGAAATCTGGACATGGCAAAAGGAAAAAAGTCAGGATTTGAAAATACACCCCCCTCCTGCAGCTCTCCTCTCTCTGTCTTAAACCCCTCCCACCAGACAACCATGGGCACATGCACGTGCTTCATTCAGTAGCCCATTGTTTCCTTTACATTGATGTATCTAATCTTATTTCATTGTACAGTAGCACACAGCTCATTCTCCCAGCACCTCCTTGCCCCACTCTCTCTCTGTGTATCAGAAATGAGACAAGAATTACCCAGCAAGCAGACCCACAGTCTCTCTGCCTTGCTCCCCACCGCTGTGGCCTGATTCTCTGGGAGGAGAGCAGGCTGCAGCCTGGGAGATGGACCTTCTGTTAGTGGCTGTTGCATCTCAAATTTGGCCAGCGCAAACCCCCCAGTGCTGGGTGACTCAGTGGGCTGGTGGCTAGCAGCAGTGCTGGGTCTAACCTGTGTAACAGCAGCAACAGAAAGTTTGCTGATCTGGTTAGGAGTTGGGGCTGTACGTTCCCCTGGAGCTGGGGTTTGAGCTGGCTGGATTCAGATTGCTGCGGCCTTGGGTTCACAACCACGCAGAGCTACTTGCTCTTCCCGGCAAGTTGGTCTGTATCAGAGTGAGGCGGAGGACACACTGAGTCGAGGCTCTCGCTAATGTTAACCACATAAATGTGAACTTGAAGCTGCAGTCGTGAGCCTTTTGCTCTGGTTAGGAGACGGCTACATCCATCCATCCATCCATCCATTTTCAACCGCTTATCCGAAGCCTGGTCAGTGGGGGAGCAGGCTGAGCAAAGTTTTCCAGGCGTCCCTCTCCCCAGCAACGCTTTCCAGCTCCTCTTTGGGGGCCCCAAGGTGTTCCCAGGCCAGATGAGATATGTAATCCCTTCAGCGTACTCTGAGTCTGCCCGGGGCCTCCTACCAGTTGCCCGGAACACCTTAAGCGAGAGACGCCAAGGACGCATCCTTATCAGATGCCCAAACCACCTCAACTGACCCCTTTCAAAGCAAAGGAGCAGAGGCTCCGAGCTCCCTCCAGATGTCTTAGCGCCTTGCCCAGTCTCTGCGGCTGAGCCCAGCCACCCTTCTAAGGAAATTCATTTCAGCCGCTTGAGTAGGCTACACTATCAAGATTTTCTCTCCATCTCTGAAATGCTTCACCGATATTGACACATTTTATTTCATTTATTGTATTTACGGGTCACAGCTGCTCACATGTAAAGATTTGATGCTTTTTTTATATATGACAGGAAACATTATATCTTTGGGGTTTTTGACTGTTGCTTGGACAAACAAACACTGTGAATGTCACATTGGGAAATATGAATTGTTATTTTACAGTAATTTTCTGTCATTTTATAGACAGAATGATTAATCAAGCAGCTTAATTGATAGTTAGTTTGCAGCCCTATTAACATATACTGCATATTCTGCATTGGCTTGTTGCAGCTTTTTATTTAAACCTTGATGTTGAACACCGAGTGAAATATATTCCATGCAAATTGCGGATGTCTTATTCATCATTTTATACAGCTCTCCGGAAACTTTAGGATCTTCACCAGAATTTCAATTTCACTTGGTTTGAGCAGTGCTTGTCTGCACAGCATGAGCCTGCTGCTTGTTAGGCGGTTTAGGCTTTAAGAAAAGTGTAGATCGCTACTGAAAGTGAGCATGAGAGGAAAGCAGAGACTATGTAAGAGCTGCTGCAGGAACTGTCAACAGACATTCTCTAAAAGCTCAAAAGACAAAAGAGGCAGGACACTGCAAGTTACATATTTTGGAGTATTTTCCCTGAAAACAACCTCTTCATGCCCTTAAATGGCTTACATGTAACTCTGCACCTTTGCCTCTATTTAGTATGCGCAGATCTGTGAACATGCAGATTAGTTTCTCGCTTCTGTCTCCACCCACCCATCAGCTGTTTTAACAGCTTTGACCTATTAATCAAAGAAAATACCCACACAGCCGTGCATATGGGTTAGCATGGTCACCAAATTATCAGCTTTGACAGGTCATATACATGGCCTTATGCAGATCGGTCATCAGAAAGCGGACAGATTTCAGGATCAGCAGATTGATTATTAGTAGATCAGCTTTGGAAATCACATATCTACTATCATGAAATCGTGTGGTTGGTTCATTTGCTTTCACACCACAAACAAGCTGCAGCAGAGTTTGCTTGGAAGTAAACTGAGACCACCTTTTAACGTGGTCTTGGTTTGGTTGTTTGATTCACACCAAGGTTTGATTGGCAGCTTTCACACTAGCACAAACGAACTGTACTAAATGCACAAACAGACTTGAGTTGTTTTGTTTTTTTTTGGGGGGGGGGGGGGGGGGGGGGGGGGTGCATTTTTAGCCTTTAATGGATAGTACAGACAAGTGAGAGAGAGGGAGTGACAAGCAGCAAAGGGCCACAGGCTGGAGTCGAACTCAGGCCGCAGCGGCAACAGCTTTGTACATGGGGCGCCTGCACCGACGCCCCGACTTGAGTTGATTTTAACCAGACCAAACAGGTTAGGTGTGAAAGCACGCTTAACTTGCAAAATACTGAAACGTAGCTACACCTGGCTTCTCTTTTGATACCCCTTGAGTGTTATGCTAATGATATGGAAATCTCCACCCTTCAAGTTGACAAGATTGGTTCCTTATGTTGGTAACGTTTGACAACCTGGTCTCACTCTGAAGTCTTCGAAATCTAGCGCTTGGGCAGTGACTTGCGGCGTAAGACACTGACGAAAAACTTTAATGTTGGCATGATACACGGCTGGTCGCCATTATAGTTTAATGGTGCTCAGCTGTGTCAGGGGGAAACACGGCGGGCGAAAAATGAAAGTTAAGGTGGCGAAAGTCCATTTAGGGTGGGTGGGACAGGTGGTGGATGGGTCCAACAAACACTGACCTTCACTCAGGAGAGCCGTGCTCACTTCCCCTAAGATTATAAGGCCAAATCCTGTTCTTTTTTTCCTAAAGTTAACCATGTGTGTTAGTTGTTGGAGGAAATAAAACCTGAATTCACGTTGTTCTACAGACATAATGTGTTTATTTTGAAAGAGACTGTATGTAGACGGTAAATTTCCTGAGAAAACACAAGTGTATTTTGAAAGAAGACAATGCATGTAGCAGGCAGTACTTGACACAGAGTCCCAGAACGTCAACAACCAACTCACCCAGGGTACCTTTCGCATCGTATCTGGATGTAGAATGTCCGTGACCAAACGTCGATGTGTGATGAGGTCAGTGTGAGATTGTGTTGCGTTTGAAACCGACAGCCAATTCAGATATAATGTGATCGCATTTCGGCTGTCAGATATGATCAGATCTTGAAAATGGGCTGTCAGAAGATCCAGTAAATGAGGATTATCCTGAAGTGTGGATTCAGGAGCTTGTTATAAAACTTTAAAATTGGTAAAATATATATACATTTGATAATATTTTGCACTTTATTTGTGTAACAGTTACTGTGATAAAGTAGATAGATTAGACATCATGCAACCTATTAAGCCTTTCAGTATAGTAAAGTTCGAAAAGGATGTTGTCCCCATAGAATAAGCTGTCAAAATCAAACAACAATTATTTAAAGTTATAATATTAAAGATTTCTGTTTCGTTCTTTTTGGCAGCACTTATGATGACAAGTGGTAATTACAGTGAATTTGTTGGCAGACTACATTGATATGTAATCCTATTTAGAGCAGATTTGGTGCTCTTAAAAATTTGTATCTGGATTAGGGTGATCCAATGCACTGTTGCTTTGAAAAACTGGCACAAAACTAAGATGGATTAGCTGATCCTAGACAGCAAATCATGGGATTTCCACTACATTTCTTTCAACAACTGGGCCCTTGCTGTCGAAATCCGTGTTTTTGAGACTCATTGGTACCAGTTCTAATGTGGAAATGCTCAGCCAGGGCATTGACTACTCATATCATTCATGATATGTCTTATAAAAAAACACCATGTGTCACCATATATCTTTAAGACCAACTTCTTTCTATTTTAACACCCTTCAAACCTACACAGGTATTTTCATGCACTCTGACTGATTTGACCTCTTCTGGGAAGACCTGTGCTGAAGTCATTAAATTCAGTGTTCTGATGGAGGACAGAGGGTGTCCACCAACAGTCATGTAATCACATGGAGGAAAACATCTAACACTGCTTTAAAGGGTTTTTATAAATAACTGAGGAGATGTTTTTATAGAGTGGAGGCCAAAGAGAAGAGCAGCAGTGTTTTCTAAGAGGCTGTGTGATGTTATTCATCCAAGCACACAGCTTTCTGAATGAAATCTGATTGATTGACATCTCAGGGGGAGACAAGCCCTCAAATGGTGCCCTGTGTCTATGGGAACAATTATTTTCTGATGGCTCAGACGTCGCGTATTGTCACATCATGAGTCCATCATGTCTCGCTGAGAATTTCTCTCATTCATGAGCAGAATGCGTTGACATGCAGAAAACAGATCATTCACCATTTTCTGAGAGGTAACATCGATTATCGTTGTCGGTCGCCTAGCAACAGGGTTCTCACGACTTCAACCACCTCAACGAGCGATACTGTGCGTGACTGACTTTTGATATCGAAAACACAGCCTCAGGAGTTACATTTGAATGCAGCGTTATGTTAAATGAGCTGTGTGTGGGTGGACAGTGTTGTGGATGTTCTGGTCTCGGGCTGTCTGACCTTAAAGGGACTTTATTCAGTCGATTCATTGGAGAGATCAAACAGTTTAACCCATCTATCACCACTTTTAAAAACCCAAATTTAAACAATTGTCCTAGTTTTGTCTGTTATAGTTATTTATTTGTTTTGTTTTTAATAATTTGAATTGTATTTTACATTTCTTCGTAAAGTACATCTGTTGTTTTGAAATGTGCTCTATAAATGAATTTGACTTAACTCTATGTTAAAACCATCTTCACAGTGATATAATTTCTAATGTGTATTATATTGTACATAGTCTGCTACAGGTGTTCCTAAACTTTCAACCCAGTCTCCAGAAGAGAATGATGGTATTATACTTTTCTGCAAACCACTAATACATTAAGTTTGCATATAATATACGAGGTGACTTTTTCATCAGGAGGTGGGGGGAATGGTTGATGGCATGACACCAAGGCAAGATACCTGCCAAGTTGCAAACCACTGTTTGAGACCAACAAACAGCAAAACTGGTCGTGTTTAACCGAGTCATTGCCGTGTTTACAGCGGCTGTTTAGTCCCCATAAAAAACATGGCTGCTTTTAAGCGACCTGTGGGTGATTTTCCAGGGGCTTTTACCCAAATGTGGGTATTTTTGTTATGGACCTAGTGCGATGTTTCCTACAACTTTTAAGCCGTTACATGTGCATGTTTTGTAGGGGCCCATTGCTGTTGTTCCAGCAGCATTTTAGACCCCAAAAGAGAGTGTTTTTTAGTCCTTCCTGATGGGTGCTGTGTTTCCTGAAGCTTTTAAGCTATTAAATGTGGGTGTTTTTTGGCAACCTGTGGCTGTGTTTCCAGCAGCTTTTTAGCCCCCAAACATGGGTTTTTGTAGGGACCTGTTACTGCATTTCCTGTGGCTGTTCAGCCCTTTAACGTGGGTGATTTGTAGGGACCCATTCCTGTTTTTCCAGCAGCTTTTTAGACCCCAAAAGAGGGTGTATTTTTAGGCTTTCTTGCTGGGAAATACCAGGAAAACATGGGTTTATTTTTATGGACCTGGTGCTATGTTTCCTGCAGCTTTTCAGTCCTTAAATGTGGGTGTTTTTTAGGGACATGTGGCTGCGTTTCATGCGGCTTTTTAGCCCCCTAACATGGCTGCTTTTAAACCGTCAAAAGTGGGTATTTTTAGGAACCCGTTGCTGAGTTTCCTGCAGTCTTTCAACCCCTAAATGTTGGTGATTTGTAGGGACTAGTTGCTGTTTTTCCAGCAGCCTTTTAGATCCCAGAAGTTTTCTGTCTTTTCTGCTGGGAAATGACACAAAAAGCAGCTACGTTCCAGCAGAGATTGTGCCCTAGAGCCGGGTATTTTAGGCTGAAACATAATTTCTAAACCTAACCATACATTAACCACAGTGTTGGTGAAACATAAGGTTTCAACATATCCACTACATTATAACGTGCAAATGTAACGTATTGGTGGTTTGCAGAAACGTTTCTATGGTGTCTGCCTAAATTGCTGTAAAGAGCAGGGCTGATTATCAAAGTGTCTGAAAGTTAATTTATATGACATGTCATTAAAACCTGCTGCTGTTCATGGAAATAGGCTGAAATCTCTCTGCTTTCATCTTCTTTCACAGGAAGCCCGCGCTCTGTGGTCAACCTGCTGCTAAGCAACGAGATAGAAAGAGACACAGTTTGGCAGAATTTGGACAACACGCACACACACACACACACACACACACACACACGTGCACACACTTGCCCATTAACTCTCCTTCCTGTCTAATTAGTTGAAACCAGATTAGATGGAGTCAGCCGGAGCACATGACTGTCGCAGTGAGCAGCACATTATGACTGTTATCATCACAGGATATTAATCAAAGCCTCACTAACCATTGGTGAACAGTTGCTGCAACAACTCTCTTTTCAAGATGCACTGCTTCCCTCAGCTCATGTCCCAGGTCGAACCAACAAGCCATCTCTTGTCACTCCCCAGAGCTAATAACAGATGTCTTGATAGGATCTTTCTCCACTCTGCTGTAACAGCATGGAGCAGCCTCCCCCCTGCTGTCATCAGAGACACCACCTCAAGTAGTGTTCACATTAGAGCTGCAGTATTCATTCAATCAGTTGTCAACTATTAAATTAATCGCCAAATAATTTGATGATCAATCAAGAAAAAAGTGAAATTATCTGATATCAGCTTCTTAAATTTAAATATTTCTGGTTTCTTTAATCCTAGTAAACTCAATATCTTTGGGCTGTGGGTTAAATAAGACATTTTAGGACGTCATCTTGGCCTTTTGAGCAATATTCTCCACTATTTTCTGACCTTTTATAGACCAGACATCCTTCAAGAGGAGACTGAATACACACCTACTCAGCATGACACTGCAAATCTAAAGCTCAGGGACTTCAGTCATAACAAATCTTCATACATATTCCCGAGTAGCTGCAGATCAGTCAGTCTGAACAGTATTCATGAAGCTTGTATCTGCAAATACAAAAGGAAAAAAACTCTGGAGGCAAAATGTGTTTATTTTTCTTGCCTTGTAATTAATGACAGACATGTTACATTCAGTTTATGTCAATTAAAATTTTCTTCTTCTTTTTGTTTGTTTGTTGTGATGCATTCAGTAAAGTGTGTATTACCTTTTCGAGTGTTTCACATCACTCAGTCTGGGATCAGACAGCAACAAAGACAGTCTTTTATCAATGTGGATGCTTAGATGTCAGTGTAGAAAAATGGGAATAGATCCCTCGCACATTTAAAGGGATACTTGCCTTCGGTTTGGGGACTCACGAGAGAGATTTTTTTTTTAAATGAAAGGGCCAACATATTCTGGCTATTTATTAAATGTAACAAAACTGCTTGATCCTGCAGTTCCCATACTGCAACCAGTAGCCTCTTTTCATCAGACGTTCCTTCCTGGTAGATACCTATAGAGCTCCATACAGGCCTAATAAGTGATTTTAATACCAGTGTGTGCATCTTCTTTTGTGTCCAGGTTTTCAGTGAAGACTCTTCTGGACCGTTCCTGTTTTGAGACAATAGACGACACGTCTCCAGAGTTCATCAACTTTGTTTCCATCCTGGAGCACATCCTCAGTCATCGACTCAAAGGTAAAAGACATAACCCATACATAAACATATGCATGCCATGCAGCCTAATATTTAAGCTGCAGAATGCAATATTATTTTTGTCACATTCTGACTTTATTGATAAGAGAGTGACAGGAAACATGAGAGAGAAAGAGAGGGATGACACGTGATAATGGTTCTTAGTAGGAAATGAGCAGCGGACATTGTGGTCACTTGTGTCTTGATAACAGCAACACAGATAAGAATATGAAAAAATATGCAAAATTTTAATGTGAAATTGGAGTGACTCATTGGTTGCAATCACTAGTTAGGGTAACAACAGGCATCTTGTGTCCCTTTATTGAGATCAAGTATGGATGCTGGTAAAAAAAATATTCTCAGTATCAAACACAGTAGATTCTTATTATTTCTAAACTATAGTATAAATACTGGCCTGTTAAAGACCCGGGACCAGTTGCTCAAAACACCTTAAGTTTTCTCCTTAAGTATGACACTCCCATAATGCCACTGCCTGCTTGGAAACCATGAGCGAGAGTGGTTAGTCAGGGAATGGCGTGCTGGGCAGACAGGAGTGCACCAACCAAGCTCCCAACATCCCCGAGGGACTTACACAGTTGCACAGAATCCCTAACAAGGTTTCTCTAGTTAAGGAAAAATGTGAACTCATCTACTGCATTGAAAGAGATTTTACAGCGGTAAAAGTTTCCCTGGAGATTGTTTATTTGCTTGGACTCACAAATTTGGCCTATAGTTAGTGAAAAAATGGCTGAAGACAACAAAACTATATTGGTCAGAGGAGGAGAAGATTAAATTTGATCTCAAGTACCTGAAAAAAGAAAACAATTGTAAGAATAAAACATTGATTCAGTCAAATCTAAAGTGTAAAATCAAAAGGTATCCATCAGGTTCTTAGTTCTTTTCATTCATTACTATAAACACTGTTGTCTTGCAGTTAAGATAAGTCAGACGTCCTTTTTTTTTTTACCATGCTCTGGTTGCTAAGGTCTTTTGTGCAACTGTGTAGGGTTTCTTTAAGTAAAAGACCAAGACAAGTAGAAATCCGGAAATACTTAAGTGATCATTTTAAAAAATTCTTAAGGAGAAGACTTAAGGGTGTTTTGTGCAACTGGTTTATGTTGAGGAAACCTTAACTAGGACTCTAAGGAAAATCTTTACCTAAGGTATTTTGTGCAATATGCCCCAGTATAATTAAGGTATCTACTTTCAGAAAGGTGGACTTCTTGTGCCTTCCTGCTGGTATAGACATAGCCGTAGCCAAAGGCATTATCTTTTCAGGTTGTCCGTCTGTCCGTCCCGCTCTCAAGAACAAGATATCTCAGGAATGGCTTAAGGGAATTTCTTCAAATTTGGCAGAAATGTTCACTTGGACTCAAGTGTGGGGTCAAAGGTCTGTGCGACCTCACAAAACATGTTTTTGGCCATCTCTCAAGAATTTGTATGCTAATTATGACAAAATTTTTAAATAAATGTGGCTCGGGATGTAATTATAAAGTGATGACATTTTATATCCAAAAGGTCAAAGGTCAACTTCACTGTAACACTAGTTAGTGACACTAATTTTGGGTGTCCATCTTGAAACTGATTTGATTGCATAGATCTTCTGTGCTGCCGGGTTGAAGATGTGTGTGAAGCATCCATTTTTTAGAATATGTAGCTTCTTTGCAGCAGCATCCATACTTTAAGTGTTGTCCACCATCATGGCTACATATGAGACATGGATATAAACTGTAACTGCAACTTGACTGGTTAACAGAGACATATGACCCTGAGGTGGTAATTCTAATACATTCAGCCCAATGAGTGCATATTATATGTCACTTCAGTGTAATTTCTCTTTAAAAAAATCCCTTAAACTGTGTTCCACTGCCATATGTATAACAAGTACAAACTTGCTTTGTGCATCTTTAAAGGGATAGTGCACCCAAAAATGAAAATTCAGCCATTATCTACTCATCCATATGCCGATAGAGGCTCTGGTGAAGTTTTAGAGTCCTCACAACACTTGCGGAGATCCAAGGGGAGAGGAGATAGCAACACAACTCCACCTAATGGAGGCTGATGGTGCCCCAGATTCAAACGTCCAAAAAACACATAATTGAAACCACAAAATATCTCCATACTGCTCGTCCGTAGTGATCCAAGTGTCCTGAAGCCCAAAAAGTTGTTGAATTAAAATGACATTTTTCCAAACAACTTTTTATGTCAGGGCTTCAGGACACTTGGAACACTACGGACGAGCAGTATGGAGATATTTTGTGGTTTCAATTATGTGTTTTTGGACGTTTGAATCTGGGGCGCAGTAAGCCTCCATTAGGTGGAGTTGTGTTGCTACCTCCTCTCCCCTCGGATCTCCGCAAGTGATGTGAGGACTTTAAAACTTCACCTGAGTCTCCCTCGGCATATGGGTGAGTAGATAATGGCTGAATTTTCATTTTCGGGTGCACTATCCCTTTAACATTCAGAGAATGACTAATGCAGATTCAAGCTTTTAAAACCTCTGTTTCTGTCTCTTTTTTTTCTCGCAGGTCAGACAACTTGGTTTGGTTATGAGAGTCCTCGGAGTTTCTGGGATTACATAAAAGCTGCCTGCAGTAAAGTCCCTCATAATTGCATCCGAAGCATCGAGAGCATGGAGAATGTGCGATCGTCGAGAGCTAAAGTGAGGATAAATCTGTCTTGGGACCAGATTTAATTACCCGAGGCAGCAGGGAGGAAAATGACTTGAATCTCCAATTTAATTATTTTCTTTTTTAATGTGTAAATTTAGCCAGAAATTGAAAGATATACTAAGTATACTGAGTCCGACAGTGTCCTGACCTGCAGCGCACACACACAGTGCACAATGAGAGGTTTGTTATTTTAGCCCACTTTATATTATCCCCTCAGAAAAAGAACAAAGGGAACAAAAAAACTGTTAAGAACACTCATGCTCATAAAACGTGACTCAGTCTAACCCCGCAAGTAAGAGAGCAAACAATTGGAGCTAATGTTGGCTGTAGGTGAGAACAAGACACACACAGGCGCACACTCTCTCAGGTCATGAACTCCATAAGCTTCGACTAATGGCTCAGTGTTACTTGTGTCTGTCTCTGCAGGGCAGGGCGTGGATCAGAGTGGTCCTGATGGAGAAAAGATTATCAGAATACATCTCATCTGCACTGAGGGACTTCAAAACCACCAGGTCTTAATGTGCTGCTCATACACTCTACACACTGTTTCCCCTTCAACCCTAATTATGACATCTTTATCAAATCAAGTGCATTCAGACAGGGTCTCTCTCCAACATCAGCATCCTGCAGCATCATTTACATCTTCTTATTAGTCGATTATCACACATCTTACAGCTCCACCTTCCTGCTCCACTTCTTATTCAACTCCCAGTCATCTCTCTGCATCTAAAGGAATTACTGTCGATAATGTTTGCACATGTGTGACTGTAGGAGGTTTTATGAGGACGGAGCGATCATACTGGGAGAGGAGGCGGGGCTGTTAGCAGACACGCTCATCGGACTCAACACCATTGACTTCAGGTACTAATCACAGTCTGCTATTTCTCACTGTAACTCTAAGTGTACTTTCTTTTTCTCCCTGCTGCTTAGTCAGTACGTAGCTTTCTTTGGCAAAGTGTCATCGGAAAAGTTACGATCCCTCCTCCGGTTTTGAGGCTGAGCCAAAAGGCTTTTATGTGTAATGAGTCAAAAGGAGGACGTGGATGGAATAACAAGCTGCTCCTCTTGACTATAATAGAAATACATTTTAGATTAAAAGTTTTATATAATTTACCGGAGCTAGATGTTTGTTTGCGTAAGTATTTACCTACTCTCACTGGACACACCTAAATCGGCATTGTTGCAGCAGAAGAGATGGTGCTCTGATTCTCCATTGTGTCTTTTAGCTTCTGTCTGAAAGGAGAGGGTCTGGACGGGAGCTGCCCCGCCGTGATCGACTACACGCCTTACCTGAAGTTCACTCAGAAGTATGTGAGGTCAATTAACACCCAATAACACACAATAGCAGGGGTCAACAAAGTCATTTTTATTGGGATTTAAATTGTATTTACACTGTTGTCTACAGCAGATTTTTTAAAAGTCATGCAAAAGTTTTAAAGGGGCAGTTCACTCCTGAATTAAAAATACATATTTTTCCTCTTACCTGTAGTGCTGTTTATTAGTCTAGATGGTTTGGTGTGAGTTGCAGAGTGTTGGAGATATCAACCTTCTCTCCAATATATTGGTACTAGATTGCACTTGGCTTGCGGTGCAAGTGTCAAAAATACATTTGAAAACTCAAAAGCAATGTCTCTTTGCAGAAATCATGACCTGGTTACTCAAGATAATCCACAGACCTTGTTGTGAGCAGTTTCATGCAGGAACTATTTCCTTGCTACCGAACTACACTCGCCAACTGTATCACCGCGCAGAAGGAAGCGTGCCCTGCATAGGACTGTTTTCCTAATCCCACTCCTGCCCGTTCCTGCTGGATTTCTGACCACCACCACCCACTCCCACAGTGTGTTATCTATTCCTGTCCATTCCCACAGGGTGCGCGTCAGCTCCCACCTGCACCCACAAACATTCTGACTGCACGATAGATCGATTATCAATAGACTGAATACATGAAACTGCTCACAACAAAGTCTGTGGATTATCTTGAGTAACCAGATCATGATTTCTGGGACGAGACATTGTTGTTGAGTTTTTCAAATGTATTTTTTTTGGCACTTTGAGCACCACAAGCCGAGTGCCATCTAGTTCCATTATATTTGAGAGAAGGCAGACATCTCTACGGCTGATATCTCTAACACTCGACAACTCACACCAAAACAATCTAGACTGATAAACAGCACTATAAGTGAGAGGAAAACTATGTATTTTTCATTTTGGGCTGAACTGTTCCTTTAACTATGAAAGGCAAGACATAAGCTTTTCATCAGAGGGTCAGTCACAGGCCACTGTTTGCCTGCCCCAGCTGTGTTGGATGTGTACTTATATGAGGCTCATGTTTGTTCCCTGTGCAGTGCAGACAGCATCAGCAGCGACGAGGAGGAGATGAGGACTCTGGGGAGCAGCGGCAGTGAGAGCAGCACCCCCGACAAAACGGCTACCGCTGCCTCCATCTTCACCGAGCAGAGCAACTTGGTCAGCAAGTGCAAACGCTTTGAGCAGAAGTACCGGATGGCACTGGAGCAGAAGGTAGTGTGTGTGTGTGTGTGTGTGTGTGTGTGTGTGTGTGTGTGTGTGTGTGTAGTAATACTGTTATTTTGGGATAAACAAAGTGGATGGTAATATATATGCAAACGTGACATTTCCCATGATGCCTGCATTAACGTTAAAGGCTCAAGTTGTGAAATGCCAGGAGATGTGTTCTGTGAAGAAATGTTTTTGACACAAACAAACACACTTAGCTTGATTTTTTGAATGTACTACATCCTTAATGTCACTTCCCTCTGTGGCATCGGCTGTTACATAACGTCCTGAGACCCCAGCTTGTGTTTGATAGGCATTTTTAATTTCTCTGAGCTACTTAGGATTGGAAGGACCTGATAAGTATAAAAAACTAAACATTGTCTTTGAACAGGAAGTAGTTTTTGGACAAAAAGATGTCCTCTTATGGAGACAATGGGTTTATTTTTAATAGTTGCAAGTGTGTACAAAAGTATAAAACTATTTGTTTCAATACCTGAACACTGTTGTGCAAAAACAAAATTACAAACAATGCAACATTTAGAGGTTAGAGGTCACTGTTCAAGTCTAAAACTGTTAAGAGACTGTTCATTTCAACGCCTGAACATGGCTGTGCAAAACAAAATTGCAAGTAATGCAAAATACCTAAAAGCCTTGTGATTTGTTCGTTTAGTAACCCTGGATCATATTTTCTCTGCTCCATACTACAATGTCCTTTTTGTCTGAAGGAACAGTCTGTCCCACCTATAATTGGCCTGTGAGAAATGCTGGGATAGTACAGTATTAAAGTCCCTGTGTGCTCAAACGAGTTTGTCCCAATTTCAGCATTTTGGCTTGTCACTGTTGCTAAAATTGTTCAAATTTGTAGCCATATCAAATTACAGATGTTATTTAGCACAAATAAACAAGTTTCAACCATAAAATTTGATCAGCTTTTGCACCTTGTCTACCTTTGTGTCAGTAGTCTCGCCACCAGACAATCAGAGAGCTCCACCTTCTGATAGTCTGGGGACACTCCTTTCTAAAGTGTGTTTAACACACCGGCGAAAACGGCCGGCAACAAAGCAACGCCTCTTGCATTTTTGAAATGGTCACGCCCTCCCGGAAATGTGCGTTCCCCCTTTTCTCGTCCGCAAGGAAACAAACACACAGAGAGCTTGAAAATGGACGCAGAGATTTAACTCCGTTTTATCAAACGTGTGCTCAGTCCACAAGATTGTGGAAATGAAGGACTTACAGCGACTTGAGCCATTTTGTACCGCTGCACGTGTTTCTAGTCAGACTATGTTTACGAGCACAAGAGTTCAGCGAGCCACCGAAGGACCGCCCTGCAGATTTACTATTGGTTCTGCAACGTAGGGAATTTTTTTAAACTCTGAAATTGTATCCGCCCATGTAAACACAAAATCAGGGAGAAAGTCATCAGTCTTTAGTTAAGCAAAGCGTCTAAACTGACGTGAGTCTATTGTGTCGGGAACAGCTGTAGACTGAGCATAAAAGTGTCCACAAACTAGGACAACAGGTCCAAGTTATGCAGAATGGAGTATAAGGTGCAGGAAACCCAAAATATAACGTTGTCATATGAGGACTCAGGGTCTCAGGAGGATAAAACGGGATAAAACAGCTTTGGGGTGGCATTAGCTCAGTCCATGGGAACTTGGGTTGGGAACCGGAGGGTCGCCTGTTCAAGTCCCCGTCCAGACCAAAATATGGAGCGTGGACCGGTAGCTGGAGAGGTGCCTGTTCACCTCCTGGGCACTGCCGAGGTGCCCCTGAGCAAGGCACCGAACCCCCCAACCGCTCGGAGCGCCTGTCACGGGCAGCCCACTCTGACATCTCTCCACTTAGTGCGTGTGTGTTCGGACCTGTGTGTAATTGACAAACAGAGTGAAAAATTGAATTTCCCCTCGGGGATTAATAAAGTATATAAAATTAAATTAAAAAATTAAAAAATGACGGACCTGCCACTGTCTCCACTTTGCTTTGAGCCAAAAACAAAAAGCTCAAACAGCATTAAAGGGGTGCTTTACCCATTATCCACCAGCTTTGTATCATGACAATGTGGGTAGTATGTGTAAAAAGATCATTTGTTTCATACCAGCCTCCATATTGTTTCCCTTAGAAAAAAAAACAAAACAAGCTTGCATTACCTCACCTACTAGTAGGAGGGTTTATTGGTCTGGTGCGGTGCAGGGCATTCTGGTAGTTGTAGGTTTTCTACCTCTTGAGCAAAAGCGAATGCCACAGCCCCTCCCTTTGTTTTCTCTGGTCATGTAGCACCAATTTCAAAAGTCTTTGTGTTTTTCCACTGCATAGCCTAGTTTTACAAAAAGACCATCTTTTCTTCAGCATTGAAATACTTCTGTAAACAAACACACAACGCAAATGTGTATGCTGATGTGTGTGTTTACCTCAGGGCTACCTAGAGGAGCTGGTCCGTCTCCGAGAGGCCCAGCTGACAGAGGCCATGTCTCATAACAAAGCTCTTCAGCAGAGCCTAGCAGACACACACGTCTCCCACACACTGGAGAAAGAGCAGCTCGAGTACATCGTACTGGAACTACAGGACCAACTGTGAGTTCATCCTGCCTCTCTGTGTGTGTTTGTCAGTGCATGTGAGGTCGGTGACGGTGAGGTGGAGAGCATTTTGCAGCAGCATCCAGCTGTGGGTTTGACATTCAGGACACAGCAGGAAGCCCGGAGGTTGTAGTCGGTTTGCTGTTTGTGTTTTGTTGAATCAATTGCTGCTTTTTGCCGAGAGGAAAAGCTGCAGCAGCGTTGTGTCTTTAAATTAATGCTCTAATTAGTGAAAAAACATTTTCAGTTTGATCGCTAATTTAACGCTGGCTGCACAGTCTGTCAGGAGGATTTGTGTGTCAGAATCTCTGGAAATTAAACTGCAGTCTAAAGCCAGTGGAATGAGTCAGTGGATGTTTTCAAATGCAAATAGAGTGAGAGGCAAAGTGAGGAGCAGCGAGTGCAGTCAGAGAGATGACACTGTGAGTCAGAGAGTATTTAGAGTACGCAGGTATTGTTGTTTATTGTTTATTCAAGGATCCCTATTAGAGGCAGATCTGCACATTGCACTGGGAACGTTTGCACATTGCCTGACTAATATTTTTGCACCTTCTGCCAAACTCCACATCGTATTCTGACACAGTCATAAGCAGCTTTATTGTACATATTTGCTATGTCATTGAACTTTTTAAATAACTATCTTAGTCATATTTTTTATTGTAATTTTTCTAGTCTATATTCATATTCTTGAGTGGTGCAGTACTTTTTTATGTATGTACCAAAAAACCAAAGCAAATTCATTGTAAGTGAAAACCTACTTGGCAATAAATCCTCTTCTGATTCTACTTCTCACGTGGATCTGCCTCTCGTCTTCCTGGGGTCCTGCTCTTAGAAATACAGTATGGTAAATGCTAAACTTGCTATGCCAGTGGGCCACTTTTTCAAAATGACAGGAGGCCAGGGGCCAGTTAGTAAACAAACATAGATGATGAATATATAAATAATTAGCTCTGACCTCTGTCAGCGATCCTCCCCTGGCACTTTTCTTTTTAAATAAACAAGCTCTGTTGTGATGCGTCTTTAATGCACTCTGGCTCCTTGTTTCCATTTAAGATACAAAAAATCCTAATGTGAATCAATTTATTTTCATTGTGAAAAAGAAAGTGGTCGGCGGGACACCTTGCACCCTATTGAGGGCCAGGGGCCGTTTTCACAAACACAAACTGAGAACACTCTCAGAGAGCTCTCAACTTTGCCTAAAAACTTTAGTAAGGAGTCCTAGCTTAGGAGTGAGTTAGGAAGGTTCTCAAAGCAACTCTGAGCAAGGAAGGGACAGGAACTTTTATCATAGTGAGGAGGTGTTGACCCCGTTGCTTGGTGTGATGCATTCTTTTAACAGATGTGATTGGTTGTCAGAGACATGCCCTTTTGTGAGTCTGCAAGGTGAGGACACCCAGTGGAAATTAAATGAACTGCTGACTGTGAAAGTGTTGTCATTGTTAGTGCGATCACTCTGCTGATGGAAGGTTGAGACAGACTCAAGTCATCACTGCTGCACTGTTGCATTTTTCCAGTATTTCAAATATCTTAGTGATAATAATAATAATAATGATAATAATTTATTTCTGGCATAATAATGATATTGTGTTGGGTGTGTTGTTGTGTTATGTTTTATGTTAAATGTTAAGTGACTGCATTTGTGCAGATATTATTTTACACTGCACTGAATGACCTTTGTCCTCTTTCTGTTTGAAGAGTTCATTCAGTCAATAAACTGTCTCTAACTCTGGACGTCTGTTGTCTTTAGCACGGTGCTGAAAAACAATGATTTGCGGTCCAGACAAGAGCTTACTGCCCATCTGACCAATCAGTGGCCATCTCCTGTCGTCTTGGATGCCAACGCCGTTGCCTTGGACACGCTGCTGTACAGGAAGAGCACGGGACAGTGGGAGGAGTATGTAGATGCTTTTACAGCTTCCAACTATTTTTTTTTATTGTTAATGAATCTCAATAACTTAAGTGAAGTAATACATAGAGTACAGACCTTGCTCATTTATCTGTAGCAGTAAATGTGTTTAAAGATTATTGTTTCAGCACTGGCTATGTGTAATCTTTACTGATCCTCTGTCGCCTCTTTGCAGGAAGAGTTTCCAGAGCCTGGAGCAGCTGTCTGCAGACATGAGTCTCTCCCAGACCTCACTTGAACCGGCACACACAATGAGTCTGGAGGGCAGGCCGACCGGCACACACTGGCCCCACCAAGGTACGTCTCCTTCTGCGAGTAAGCACCGTTGTCCAGGATGTGAGTATTAATCTTATTTATCTTGTCACTCAGGTAAAGAGGAAACTCCATCTCTAAAGGGTCTGTGTGGCTCCCTGACCTCAGTCGCAAGCTACAAGTCTCTGGCCAGCCTGAAGTCCAGCGAGTGTTTGGCCAGTCCTGCAACAGAGATCAGCAGCCCGGGCTTCACTCCTTCATAAGGAACATAGAGCTAAAAAAACACATCACAACCAGGGCCAGACAATCCAGGAACTTTCTTAATGTAGGTGTTTCTGAGCCTGTTTACACCTGGTATTGATGTGCTTCTTGGGTGATACCATCACAAGTGGACAGCGCTAAGTACAAGTGTAAACAGCCACCAAGACGCACTGTGATACGATAACTCCAACCACTTGTAGAGGTGGTCGTGGTGAGACTCACAAAATTCAAGATTCTCTCTTTCACTGAATTGAGACTAACGTTAAGCTTACTTGCCTTGTGACCTCGTCGTAAAACACACTTCATTCAAACTCAACAGAAACGAAATAAAACTCACCAAAACCGTCTGACTTAGATTACTTGCTTTTGGTTTACTTAGTTAGTCCACTGTTCCAATAATCATCGACTCTGGTTCGGTCAAAATAAACCCTTAATTCACAGAGTTAGATGTAAAAAATAAGCTATTTTTCCACTGGTCTCTTTCTGCCATGCAGGCTGGCTGTTTGCAGTCCTGTAACGTTATCCCCACTCCTCGAAGTCACCATGTATGTCATCTCAGCTCCCTGTTGCACCAGTAGAGACTGACACTAGGTGGTGCATGATGTGCGGCACATATATCCTCAACACAGCCTCTCCATGTGATTTCAAAAGAAAGATGAGTGTCTATTTTTGACAGTATTGTCTCGGAGTACAGCTGCTGCTCCTTCATGTCGAAAGGGGTCAATTGAGGTGGTTAGGGCATCTGATCAGGATGCCTCCTGGGCGCCTCACGTTAGAGGTGTTCTGGGCATGTCCAACTGGTAGGAGGCCCCGGGGCAGACCCAGAACACACTGGAGGGATTACATATCTCATCTGGCCTGGGAACACCTTGGGGTCCCCCAGGAGGAGCTGGAAAGTGTTGCTGGGGAGAGGGACGTCTGGGGTGCTTTGCTTGGCCTGCTGCCCCCGCAACCCGGCCTTAGACAAGAGCATGAAAATGGATGGATTGAAAATCTTATCATGTAATACTGCCCAAGCCTAGTGCTGATGCTTTATTACAGGGGTGTCCAAACTGTTTTGAACTGGGGCTGGATTAGACAATGGGAAAACACCTGGAGGGCCAGCTCCTAAAAGTGACGAGCTTTGCTGTCGACTTTATGCTTCTTTGCTGTGTTCATGTCTGCTCCCGAATCTAAACTTTCGTTAGCTTGTTTACCATCTATTTATCATTTTGCCTGCATAGTTCCTACTTGGGGCATGTCAACAAACTGTTTGACAGTCCTGCCATCGTGAGGTGAACCGAAAAAAATGCAAAGTGAACTTGCTTGACTATCCAATACTGTGCTGTGGACCATACATAGTCTACTTTGAACAACAAGCTGGGGGCCGTTTAAAATCAGTTCGGGGGCCACAATTGGCCCCCAGGCCGGACTATGGACATGCCTGCTCTATTACTTGCCCATTTTATGATGAATTGAACAAAGTATTGTGGATAAGCATTGATCGGTTGGAAGCACAGTGTTAAATCTGCTGACAGCGGTATCTCCAGCTGTACCGACACAACCACTCACATGACTAGCAAACATGCTAGCAGGAGCGTGGATGTAATAACTTTGTGCTGGGCCCTTATAGCGTAAATGACATAGGCAGTAACACAATCTGAACACAAGCTGTCAGCTGGAGGCACATAATAGACACAGATATGAACAGTGATGTGTCTCGGCTGTCCACCTGCGTTTGGATTACTGAAGCACTTGTCAATACCAGGTGTCAGCAGGCTCATTGATTTGTAGACATTTCCGTTCTGTCTGTATGTGGAGCTTTGACAGATGGAAGTCGGGGTTTGTAAGTAGAGAATCAGGTGAAGCGTGTCCTTTGACTTGTGTTCAACTCAAGAGCACCTCCATCAGACAGAATAATGTCTTACTACTGTACCATACAGCTGAAACGACCTCTGACTCTCTATAGAGGATATCCTGCTGTTATTTCATTAATAGAGAGGCGAAGTCCCTCCCCTTCCATTTAGTTTTGTGCTCAGTGACCTACACCTATTGTCACGTACAGTTTATGTCACCAACACCAACACGGCTGTTACCTCCACACATTTCACAACATTCTCCCAGAATGTGAGAATAAGCATTAAAGAGGTGAAAATTACTACAAGTCTGGCCATGTCAAGAGCCGCAGATGTGCCAATGTCAGTACATCCCAGTTGGAAACACACAGGCATCGTAGCTTCAGCAAGAGGAAGTTATGACATCACCTATATGATTTTTGGGTGTCTTTCTATTTACCTATTTATTTATATTATCATATGTGTGATTCATGTCACAGGGGATCAAAGTAATATTTGTCCCTTGACGTTGACTACAGCACCTATTTCTTCCGAAACAAGGTCCACCAGAAGGGGAGGGACTTCACCTCTCTATATGTGTTTTTGTTTTGTTGGTGTTTTTATCTGTGGAGCATCAGTTTTTTTCCATTATGGGAAATGTATTAAATAATAGAAAGTCTGTGTAAGGATTGAAAGGTTTCCCAGGAGATCATAGCATGCTGAAAATACTGAGTGTAGATCAGAGTTCTGAGAAAACACAAAATACTGAAAGCTTTGGTCAGTGTTAGTCTCTTGTCACTATGAATCATTTCAAAGGGTCTTTTATTATCGTCTGTGCTTTTACTGCTGCCTCTGAATAGATGTTTTTTATCTAGTGATCTCTTTGATTTCTGATGAATGTACCTTCACATTTGTCACATTATGACATCAAAGTTTTGCATAATGCCCTCTCACTTTTTGTTTTCGGGTGTAAATGTTTCTGCACTTTTTTCACATTTTTTTATTTGATCAGTTTTATATTGTCAACATGGTGTATAATGCAGTGTCACATGGTTTTGTTCTCAGGTAATGATCCCTATGATTAATACTCACCCTTTATTACTTTAAGATTAAAGGGACACTTCATTCCAAAATCAGAAATACATTTTTCCTCTTACCTGTAGTGCTGTTTATTAATCTAGATTGTTCTGGTGTGACACCATGTCCTAACAGCAAGTGTGTGTCAGACTGTCGCTCCACAGTGTGTTAAATTGGAGACTTTCTGTCCACACTGGATCTGTAAAATATGGAACTCCATCACATCATGTAAACAAACCACTTACCTCGCAGCTGTGGTCTCAGAGTAAGCACTGAAAAAATATTTTAGTACGTACTTCCTTATTTTCCATATTCACAACAATACTATCACTCCTATCGTATAGATATCATTGTTGTAGCTACCACACTATATAGCAGTGGTTCCCAACTGGTCCAGCCATGGGGTCCAGATTTCTCCTTAGTCATTAGTTCACGGTCCTCACAGTTAAATACATTCAGTGTCGTACTTGCATTTGGCCATTTCTGCAAGCTAGTTTGCTGTCTCTGTCAAGTAGCTGTGCGTTATTCATTCACTCTACATCAGGAAACGGCACTTCAAAATGAAAACTGTGCTGGAAATTCACTGTGCTTAAAAATAAAGTGAGTTTTTACCCACCAGTTGGGAACTACTGCTGTATCGTACCACCATCTCCACTTTGTAAAACAAGCTAGCTTGCTAACAAGCTCAGCTGAGCATCCCAACAATACTTGCCAGAAACCTTCAGCTCCCTGGGGTTCTCCCTCCAGCCAGATGACAACTTATTTAGGTTTTTGTAGGTATCATAGATAACTCCTCGTGAATCAGCAACTCCTTGTCCACTGTGGCGCTTTCAACACGAGCAACAAGAATAAAATATAAAAGGGCCGCTCAACAAAAGTTTTGCTCAAAAACGGTGCACCGCATCACGCTGTGTTTGCCCGAGGCTAATTAGAACAGTCTAACAGAAAACAGTGCAATCAAACTGATTTAGTTGCTGATGCTTACATCACATCTAGTTCAGACATAGTATGAGTTGTCGAGTGTTGGAGATATTGGCCGTAGAGATGTCTGCCTTCTCTCCAGTATAATGGAACTAGATGGCACTCAGCTCATGGTGCTCAAAAAAGAAAACATTTGCAAAACCCAACAGCAATGTCTATGTTCAAAAATCATAACCTGGTTACTCAAGATAATCCATAAAACTTGTTGTGAGCAGTTTTTGTATGAACTATTTTCTTTCTACCGAACTACACCCGCCAACTGAATCACTGTGCAGAAGGAAGTGTGAAGTCTACTCATGGACGAGGCTAACGCTCCTGGCAGTGTAAGATGTGAACATTAATTGCATCCTCCTTGATTAAGCTGTAACGTTCACTTGCTCAGTGGTGCTAGGTGAGCTAGCAGTAGATGCACACTTCCTTCTGCGTGTTGATAAATTTTGCGGATGTAGTTTGGTAGAAAGAAAATAGTTCCTACATGAAACTGCTCTCAACAAGGTCTGTGGATTATCTTAAATAAATGAGTCATGATTTCTGGAAAGAGACATTGCTGTTGAATTTTTTAAATGTATCTTTTTGGCACTTTGAGCAACACAAGACGAGTGCCTTCTTTTTCCATTACACTGGAGCGAAGACAGACATCTCCGCGGCCGGTATCTCCAACTCTCAGCAACTCACTCCAAAACTAAATGGACTGATAAATAGCACCACAGGTAAGAGGAACAATATGTGTTTTTGATTTTGGGGTGAACTGTCCCTTTAAGCATTATTGGCCCTTTGATTATTCAAATGCAGTATTTTAATGGCTAGTTACCACAAATAGATCACTCTTAAAACTCTAATTAAAGATCTGTGTTAGGACCCAGTAAAGAATATCTTGCGACAGATATTTTTGAGATTAAGAAACGTGTATTTGCAGAATATCAGTATAACGTGATGTGTTTCACTGGTGACTAGCCATGTACCTCAACACTGAACACATGACTTTGCCTTTAGCTCGTTTCAGCAGTCATTTGCACAGATATGCAGCAGATGTTTTATTGGATTTGTTTGCCTTTTTATCCTTCATTTTGAATAAACTCCACTTGATCAAACAGTGAGAATTTGATAGTGACATTTGAGTTTCTTTTTGACAATGAATGGGTGTGATACAGTCTGTATAAAGTCAGTGCATGAGAAGAATCTACAAAGACAATCAGGTATGTATAGTAAACATTTGAAACGGCACATTTTCATGAAGTTTACACGTGTCACACTCTAATGGCTTAACACTTGATTTGGGCTGTTGTGCGTTTGTTTCTCTGTCACACGTGTATTCAGAGGTTCCTGGGGATTGGAGTGGAGGTGCAAACACACAGAGATCCTCTCTGTGTTGCGGGAGGATACACTGACTTGGACTGACACACAGGGGAATCACAATCTTGTATCTCTAATGTAAGGACTTCAGGCACAATGCACATGATCACAGTGAGACATATCACATATTATTAACAAAACTGTGGCTGCCATCTGCTGGCTGTTCAGCACATCAAAAAGCATGTGATTGGAGCACTGACGAGACAAAATATGATCTATTTTCAGTTGTGCGCACAGGATCTGTAGGAGTGAACATATATTATAGAATATCATTTTAAATACAAATAAGCTGAATTTAATATAAATCTGTAATGCAGAAATGGGTTGAGCCGTTCACCATTTCTGCTTGTGTTTTTTACTTTGGCAAAATGAGCCTTTTCTCCCCCTGCTATAGTATCACAGTGGTCATAGTGCTGTTTCAGGAGTTGCTGGTCTGCAGCGGCCTGAGTATCCTCTCCTCGTTGTATTTGCGGAAAAAGGCTTTTCCGAACTCGTAGGTGCTGATCATGATTGCGCAGGCCGGGGCCACTTTGATCAGCCTT